CTCAGATAGACAGTGTTTTCCTTCACCGCCTAGCACGTGGTAAAGCATCAGCTGAAATTGCAATCGTCAATTTTTAATTTTATTGGTGCCTGTTGGGGTGAAAACACTTATTAATGTCTGCATGCATTCATGATAGTCTGAACGTAGGCCTCTCAGAATTTTGCGTCATGTGAGTGATATTTTGTCAACTACGGCATATTTTATTACAAAATTCAGTCATCGGTCTTTAAAAAATTTTGTTTTTACCCTGTTTTCTCCCTGGATGCCATTAAAGCCAATATTTTCATAAGACACAATCTGTATCAACCAATATTAAGTCGATTTTCCATGGAATAATTATTTTTAATACGTTTTAAACTTACATAAACTGTCTAGTTATATTGTTGTTATAAGTCATCTAGCAAAAAAAAACTATAAAATAAAGAAAAACTTATACAAAAGCAAACAGGGAGATACGTTATGATAATTTCGTCAATATTTCATAGGTTATTAATTATAAATCAGTCCTAACTGCAGTTTTCTCTCTTGGGTACTTAGCCTTATCGTTCGGGCGCAACGAGACAGCAATATATCGTTAAACCGTATTCTTCAAATTTATAGGTTCGATGTCCTCTTAAGAAAAAAAAGCATTGTGTCAAAAGCACTCCTGAGGATAAGGATGATAATAACCCTTTAAAATTAAGTGAGCGCTACCAAGCTTTTTTAATTTATTTAATGCTATTAATTATGCAACATATTGATATTATTGTAAACTGTACTTCTTTCAAAAAAAGTTTTGCTGGAGGATTTCTTTTTGTTTATACTCAGATCACAGGTATTCTACGAATCAGTGGTTAATTAAACACAAGAGTGACCTTTTTTGAAGTGTTATTTATAATTCATATTGAATAAAAAAGTTTAAATATCTATTCCTAATAGTCAAATGAGGAGATAAACATTTTAGTAAGGAAACCATATTATTTTAATTCACGTATCAAAAAGTTTTCCAATATTAAATGTGTAGCGAAAATCGAACGCTATCATTTTGAACGGGTAAATTCCAATATTAACATGATTTAAAGGCATCGTTGTCTTATTTATTAAATAACTTGTTCTTTTCCTTGTTATACTAGCGATGTTGAATCATAGCTTTATTAGATCGCTGAATACAGCTTCAAATATTATGTCAATAACTTTGTTTGCACAAAGTTTATGCGTTTCATAGCTTTTACTCTATAGAAGTGAACAATATTCTTGGAACTGCTATGAAGCTTCGTACCCGTTTAGATTTCTACACTTTTATCGGTAAAGCCAACAACTTTTTGTTTGTTGTGTTGTGGCTTTATTTCACATTTATATTTCTATATATAGGAGGGAGCTTGCAAGTGTGCGGTCCACCAGATGGTAAGTGACTACCGCTGCCCACGAACTGCAACATCATGAGAATTGCAGGTGCATTAAATAAAAGAGTAAGCTCTTTTACGGAAAACTCCTAAGATGTATCGGTCTTAAAGAAATCGCTGGCTATTGCAGATTCTACAAGAAAGTTGTGTTGATACTGTTTGTTCAAATGCTCTCAAGAAAATATGAAGGTGGGAATAAATTTTAAAAATAGGTTTTATACTGTCGCATAGAGTCCTAACAACAGAACTTGTTAACGAACATAGACGACTTCAGTTCGGCCTGATCATACTACATGAAATATTGACGAAATCATCATTCTGTATGGGGATTGGAATACCGTATATTTCCATTTCTTTGTTAGTTTTTTTCTTTGTTAGATGCCTTTTTTAACGGTGGTGTAACTGGATAGTTTGCCATTTTTTAGAAACTTTTAAAACAATTATTCCCTGGACAAGGACTATAAGAGCATAGCATTGGAATTAGTCTACCTTAATTCCTAATTTCAAATTTCTAAGTCACCTTAGGCTTAGGCTTAATTTTTTGATGAGCTAGTCAATGAGAGATTAGCATTGTACTTTTCAGACCTTCATAACTCAAGCACTAAAATACACTTATTAATAAAATGTGTGATTATAGTTATACGAATGGCTTTATTTTATTGCAAGTTTTTGAGTTATGTTTGATTCGAAAGTATCTCGAAATGTAATTATTTTGTTATATATACACGAATATTTGACATTAATTATTTGACATTAAAAATCTTACGAATTTTATCGCGTTTAAGTTAAATTATGTAACTTATTTTTAATTTTCGACGGAATTTTAATTCCCGTAATTTAAAAAGTGAGTTAAATAAGTTGAAAAAGCATTAAAATCCGTAAAAATAATTATATTCAATAGCATGCACTGATCCGAGTAAATATACACACTCTTTGTGTGTCGCTCTTTTTATTTCCAAGCTTGGCTGAAGCACTGCCTGCGTTGATAATCTAGATATAAAAATAAGTTAAATCATTATCATCTTCCAAAAAATCTGTCCAGGAAATGGAATAGTATACTTGATGCTTGCATTTTTTTTCTAACTGTTAATAAAAAAAGAAAGTTTAAGTATATAATAAATAAAATTTTATAAAGTCTTGTAGTAAGTTACAGAAAATGATACGCCTGTTTCCAGATTCAAGCTAAAAGTTAATAGCGTCGATAAGAAATTGCCCCGTTTTCATCCCTACACCGCTTCCGACTCCGAATCGATCATGATATTGGCGTGCCGCCAGCCGACCGCGGCGTCCATCACCTCTGTAATTACAGCTAAGTACCGGATACATACAGAATGTTACGTAAGCTATATACATGTACCGCAGTGTCGGGCTTCATAGTATGAATCGCAAAAATATTTTTTTTATTATGTAGATTTAAGAGCTTAAAAACATTAAACAACATGCATTGATCAAAACTTGTGATGATACTGATGATTCATTCTATATTCCTCAAACATTTGGATTTTCATTCCTAATCTAAGATAAATATAGTTCTTTGGACCACAGCATCCACTTACCATCAGGTGGACTGTGTGCTCGTTTGTCACCATTATATCTATAAAAAAATATTATATTATCTTTGTAATTCTTATAAGGCACTATGATGAAGTTATTAAATTATTATAGCGTTATCGGTCCTTGATAAGAGTACAAATTTTCAAGTCAATCGGCAATCTACAAGTTTGTAAAAATGACGTTACAGTACGTTTGTACTAAAAACATCCTATACGTAGTGCTTTGAAACAAATCGCATAAAATAAATCACACAACATGTTTTGTTGGTGGTGGCGTCCGCACTCACAAAAACTGTGTAAAATTTTCAAGAGATTTTCAAACTTATCCTTCAACATTCTCCAAATTTGTTTTTAAACATTTTGTTTCTGTAGTTATAAAGATATAATATGGTTAAAATATGTAATTTACATAAACTGTTATACATATTTCACTACAACACATTCTTTGTCTATGCATACGCTTTTTCATAAATCGACAGAAAACAGTGTTTAAAACATGTTTTTTGTGAAAATCGCGTCAGTGCAAACTCATGGTTAAAGATACTGTTACACAGATGCACGTGAAACTAATCAAAGCATGTTATAAATGAATGAAATTAACAGTTAGTCACGTTTTTTATAAAGGAGGGGCAACAGAGCATGCAGCTCACCTGATGGTAAATCACGTGACTATTTCCCCCTCAAGTATGTCGTTACCATTAATTCTTAATTTTCTGTAGCGTTAAGAATCGCAGTATGTAATTTTGGCTAAACTTGCGAAAGTGCGTACTGTCGAAGAACATAATGATTGTCTGTGATGAAATGACGTATAAAGAATAATCGCATTAATACCTACGTTTCACTGCAAAGAACCGGCCATTAATATTAGTCAGTTAGTAGTAAGCTTACCATCAGTCAAGTGTAATATCCCTCAGCAAGATGCAGGACGGTACAAGCTTGATTAAAAATGTGGTCTCTCTTACATAGGACAAACTAAATTTTACCAATAAAAATCCGCGTAAAAGAACACAAAACACAGCAGTGTCAGGTTTCATATTACGAGTATGAATCTCGAAAAAATTTAACATATTTTTATCATGTAACATCTATAAAACTATAAAAATAAATGAAATTAATACTTTGTCACTTTTTATGTAAGGAAAAGGAAACGACTGAGCACGCGGCTCAACTGATGGTACTTATACCTACCTTCAGATGTATTATTGCTATTTATTTTTAAAGTTTTCTATAGAGTTAATGATTGTAAAATGTGACCTGGATTAGCCTCGCTGAAATGCGTATTATGTAAGAATATAATGACATGCAAAGATGGTGTTACGAAAAATGAATGCATGAATACCTATGTCCCACTGCTAAGTGCCGACTTTTACTCATATTTAAAAGCATAGAATACTGTATTCTATGTTTATAAGTGTATAAGTACAGGAAAGCTCTATTGGCGTACTTCATGTACCCTCGTATTTTGTGTTATACTAATGCAGCTTTCATTTTTTATAGAATTAGAGTGACAAACGAAGACACATTCCACCTGATGGTAAGTGGATGCTGTGGCCCACAACTATATATATTTTTTAATTAAGAACTAAAATGCGCTTTGTGACCGTTGAGGACTAAGACGAAATGAATCATTTCCTACAAGGATCTCCGGTTCTCTACACCATTCATACGAAACACAGTCCTTCCCTGGTCAAACCAGTGGCTCTACCACATATAAAATTTTATCACAATGTTTTTAGCACTTAAAATTGGAATTAACAAAGTCATCAATACTGGAGGTACACCCTGGTTTCTTGCATACATGTTATATTTACACTGAACGCTTATTCTTTAAGCTATGACTAAGAACTTCGGCTCATATTAGTGATAAATTTGGTATTGAGAATAAATAAGCAAGTGTTTTGTACTGTCGGCTGAAGAAAACACGATCCTCTATATTATCCCATAGGTTATGGTTTCCATTATCCCATTAGGTAAATTAGGTAATAAAAAAATGACTCTTAATAGGCCTGTCAACATATATAAATTTTTTACCACTAATAGTTACTTCAAAGGTGTTTTTACTTACCGTTATCCTTTTCAGCTGCCGCTTTCCCTTGTACCAAGTGATGAGCGCAGGCGGCCGACTACCAGCTGATTCACATGCAACCTCGTATCTCCGCTCAGCAGTCAAAACGCCCCCTTCACCAATTTCCAATGGCTTTCTGATTTCCACGGTGAGGGGCCTCACTGCAAACAAGCTGTCTAATTAAACTTGTTCATAAAAAAATGAAATACTTGAGCTTTCAAGCCGACACTCGTGGCTTACATTTTAAACAACATCCCTGTTTCGAAAGTTCTGCTTTTAATACAAAATTATGTATATTATGATGTTTTTTGTTAGGTTTTCACTTTATTGACTGATATAAGCAGATAGTGACTGAACATATAAACTATTATCCAATATTGTGGACTTTGAAAAGTTATAGTATTTTGTATAGAATGAGTTTGACAAACGAGCACACAGTTCATCTGATAGCAAGAGATATCCACATCTATCCTTTATTAAAAATCAAAATGTAGATTTGTTGTCAACTTTGAGTACTAAGATGGAACACCACATTTCCAGTAACAAGTTTCTACGGTTCTCTTCACTCACCTAACGAAATGCAGAATGAAGCTACAATTTAACACTGGTACTTTTGTGAGAACCTGGTCCTCCTCCGGTCGAGATGACTCAAGCCCATTCGTGCTATAACTATAATATGGCTGCAGTGTTGCTCTACCATAAAATTACTCTACGTATAAAATATTACGAAAGAACAATTTTTGTTGCGGCTGTACTCACGTAAAGTTTGAGTCAACAACATAATATTTTTAATGAGTCGAATAGTAGATGGATGGCGCCACTTTATATAATATAATGGACTAAAATCCAAAGCTGGTTTTTGACTCTATTTGTTTTACAAGAAACTTTTCATTGAGTTAAAATATTATATAAGCATTGCAAGAAAAATAGGGTGTCGCATCCTTAATAAAATAATCGTGTAGATTTTCGTTTATATTTGGACATATTTTTACCAAAAGTAACATTGAAATATGATTTACCTACATTTTATGTGGATAGTAACTACATAACAATGTAAATTACACACATTTGAGTTATTTATTTATTTATTATAGAGTAAGAGTGACAAACGAGCGCACATTCCATCTGATGTTAAGTGCGGATCCTGTGACACTTACCTTCATTTACATGTGAATAAAAATATACTTACTGTTCTAGAAGACTAAAATAGAATGCCTCGTTACCAGTACAAGGGGTCCCTGGTTCTCAACAGTCACCAAGCGAAACACAGCAGCGTTTCAAGTTAATATTCTGCAAGAGTGTATTCTTTCCCTGGACGAACCGCCCTATACTTGATGTAAGCACACCTACAGTAGTTACAGTAGCTACAGTAGATCTATCCATACAATGATATCATTGAGCAGTTTACGCCATAAACAATAATGGATAATTCGTTTTCTTTATAAAAGTCATCTAAAGTATAACTTAGTTGCTGCAACTGATACACAGTGTGTTTCTTTAACTGTGTGTGAGTTTTTTCAGTAAAAGTTTAAAAAATTTACATTTTTATAATTAAACTCAAACGTGCAGTAGAAGTTGGTCAAATTAAATAAAAACTTTTTCATACAATTCGCAGCAATCGCACGAGCACGTTCAAATTTGGAAAACAAATAAAACGACTTTCACAATAAGTATTCAATATGGCACCTACTCTGTTTTGTACACGTTGATACACATACGCGCAAATTTAGAGCACGTCTTGTAGCTATTGATAAAGTCATATGCTTTATATGGTTAATATTTTTACAACATGATGAAATATGACATCTTTACATATTGTGTCATTCAGGTTCATTTATAGATTAAAGGCGAAAAAGGTTTATTTTTATTTTTATTATTATTATTATTTATTATTGGTAAGTGGATGATGTGGCCCAAAGACTACATTATAGGCTACATCTATCATTAATTAATAATCAAAATACAAATGCTTTTTTTTGCATTCTGTTTTTAAATCGAACGTGGCTACTATTTTCTGAGGATATAATATGTGCTTTTGGCCGAAGAAAAAGGCGAGATATTTCGCCAGCTAAGGTGTTCAGCACAAGGAGCGGCAAATATTTTATGTTTGTTACAGTATTCGTTGCTCTGTTGTGAGTTTAAAATAATATTATTTAGTTTACTTACAGGAATATTGTCACCCATTTATTTCCTAACGTACTTAACACGATTTACAATCTTATTTATGAAGAAAATATTAATCTAAACTCGAACATATGGGACTAAAATTAATATTAGAGTAATATTACGTTTGATAGAAGCCCTGTAAAGAAGCCGTAAGAGAATCCAACTGACCCATATCCCGGAGGTGTCTTAAGAGGAGACAGAGGGATGTGAAATAGAAGAAAGGCCACAGCACGTTGCTGTGGTCTTTCTTCTCATGAACATACTCATGACCTTTCGAAATAACAAAAATTTGCGTTTTTTTTAAGCATTGGGTGACAAATGAGCACACAGTTCACCTGATAGTAAGTGGATGTAGTGGCACATAGACATCCACATTTATCCTCAATTAAGAATTAAAATGCAAATGCGTTGTCACTCCTGAAGACTAGATTCCAGTAAAAAGGGTATCCGGTTCTCTACACTCACAGCAGCATTACGCTGCTATTTTACGATGATATTCTACGAGAGTGTGGTCCTGCCCCGGTCGAGCTGACCCATTCGTGCTACAAATACAATATAGTTTCAGCGTGGCTGTACCACGCAAATCACCTTATCAATCCACCTAAAAAGTCTGTCAACTATGGCAAATATCCCCCTATAATGTAATGAAAGAAATAATGTCATGTCAATGAAAGAAAAAATGTACATAAGAAATTATCACTCTATAGTATTGAGTAGAGTTAAGTGATAGATATTAATACATTAATACTTACAGAACATGTCTAGTACTAATGAAAGCTCTTTCGGTGGCACCAAATGTGAGTTGGCAGCTTGACACGTGAACACGGCTGCGTAGTCGGCGCGTCTAATAGCCGGCCATAGCAGCCGGTTCTCTATTACGTCGCCGGTGTTGTGTTCGTACTCCTCATCTACGAGGACACCGTTAACTAACCATCGTACTGATGGTTCTGGACGACCTGAGTCAATGAACAACATCATGATGTCTATAGATTTCTTATTGTTTTATTAAATAAAATATTTTCTAAAGTGACCGTAGCCTAATAAGAAGACTCGGACCCCGAATACAAGGGACGTGGGTACAAATCCGTAGTTTGGAATGGCTTATATAAAACTGTTTGGTCTCTGTTGTAAAATTTATGAATATTTTAAGAAAATTTGATTTTAGCAGTCACTTACGAAAACCGCGATGCGTAATATGAATGATTCCCACATTTTTCATCATCATTCATCTTTATTGCCTTGCAATTCCAACTAGAAACATTGTACTTCCCACTGGGAAGTGATTGTTGTTAATATACCTGGTCAATTATCCCAACTTATACACCCGTATAAATTAGTCTTTCTATTTCTTTATAGGTCGGTAACAGACCACTGGTGAACCTCTAACTCTTCTATTATAGAAATCGCTTTACCAGAAATCGCACTGATCTCATTCGTAAGTCTGGGTCTTTTATATCTAACATTAATGAGGTCGCATAACATCCATCTATCGGAGTCCATGAGGTCTTTCTGACTTTTATTTTCCATAATCGCTTTATGCGGAACTGAGGTGATTAATTATCTTAAGCCTCTATCACAAGCTAGATATATTTGTGTGTATTGTTCTCCAGTCAGTCACAGTGGTCACACTCAACAGAGATTAGCCAATTGCGCAGGACAGGATTATAGTGCCCAATTGTTTGCGCAAGCACAAGTGCACTCTATCCCCTCACTCTCATAGTTACAGTACAAAGGGACAGTAATCCAACTGGATCGGAGAGAGATCAGGCGCAGGACCCATACCTCAAGGAAAATTTTGATAAAAAACCCAATATCTGTCTCTTGGCTCGACGCGGGATTCGAATCCAGGACCTCACGATCAGTAGTCGCGTTTATCAACACTTAACGAAAGAGACAGACGCTGGTGTGTAGTTAAAATAATAACTTGTTTTCAACATGTGTGCCGCAAACTTTATAATCAGTTAACTCTCAGTGCTTACTTTTCTTTGTCTCAATGCTTATTTACTTGATTTTGCTGCCGAACTGCTCAAGAGTAACAAATTCAGAAAAATCTCATTAAAAGTAATAGCAAAATCAAAGTTTCAACTTTACTCTTCGTCATCAAAAACACGTCAGCTTTGCGAGAATTATTTTATCCGAGGCGTTTTTACGACCTTCGCCTCAATCAATGTTTCGATTATGTAAATTTCTCTCCTTGACGATCTAATCTTGTTTAGTTATTTATTTTAAAACCGATTCTGTTTCACGATATTTTGATGGAAGGAATTTTAAGATTGTCTGCTATTTCAACATTTTATTTCGTTTATAAATATTTTATTTACGTTTATATTTACAAATTACAATATAACAAGATAGCAATACAGAAAGAAACTTACTATATAATATTAAATAAATTTGTAAATTTCATCATCAGATGAAGTAGATGTGGGTCAGCCATATAGCTCGAGGAACCGACAAGCGATGGGGAAGAAAGGTGTGTCCCTACTAGGTGGTGTAAATGGTAAAAGATCCAGGAAGTCAAAATACGCAGACGGCTCAGAACCTTTGCTTTCTTAAACCACTATTTGTGGCGTTCCTTGAGGAAGGAACGAACTATGTTCAGCAGTGTTTTCACAAAAGTTAAAGTTAAAGTTAAAGTTCCAGCCTATATATACGTCCCACTGGTAGGCATACGCCCCCTCTAATTCTGAGAGGGTTTAAGGAAATGTCCGCCGCGCTGCCCCAATGCGTGTTGAAGTACTTCACATGTCTTTAAAATATATTTTTTTCTCATTTCTCGGATGTTTAGGTTTCCTTATGATGTTTTCCTTCACCTCCGAGTACGTGGTAAGTTAGCACTTAAAATTACAATTTGCAATTTCGTTGGTGTTGGCGGGGATCGAACCCGGGTTGCTCGCGTACTGTGGAAATTAGGCAGAGTGCTTAGCCCCTAAGCTACCACAGCTCTGCTATGACTATGTTCAGCAGTAGACTTGTGAAGGACTGAAATGAATGAATGCGGAGTGAGATAATCCATAACATCCTGATAAAATACTGCAATACGATGCCCTGCTACTGTTACAAAGTATCTTATCTTACCTCGCCTATATGGTCTCGGTTTAACACCTCAAATTCAATTAGAGAAATTGATTAAAACTACTTTTACGGATTTAATATCATATATAAGAAATCATTAGAAAAATTGATTTATAAGAAACTTACCTCCAAGTACACGACATGTAAGAAGCACGTCGTCTCCTTCCTCATGAGGACCAAGGGTCGTTGTATTGATGACACGCCCCCATCGATCCACCACCACTGGCTTTTCCGGTGGTACTGCAAAGATATTAAACGTTAATATGGTTTTTAATAAAAAAATATTGGCTTTGCACAACTTTTAAACCAAATTCTAAATCAAATAAATGAGTGGTTTCTTGTTAACCATTTCCTTTGGATATTTTAATGAATTGTGAGACCCAAGTACACAGCTGAAATAATTTAAACAGCAATGAGCTCATTCTTATTTTTATATGTTCTATGCGTACATATAAAAATTAATAATTAAAGCTATGACATCAAGATTTCAACCATATCTCTTACAAAGCATTCTCAATCTCGAAAATTTTATACAAGTTATAATTTTTTTGTAAAATTATACAATAGTTTACTTTATTCAACACTTTTAAATAAACATAAAACATAAAAAAGTCAATCGACTTTAGAACTTTGATAGCACTCAAGAGATTCACGTTGAGAGGGAACGCTAAGCTTTACTGTTGCAGTAAATGAAATAAGAAACTTGAATATCCGCAATATGGCAAAGGCTATATAATATTGAAATAACAGCTTTAAATTTTCAAATCGCAACAAAATTTCTTAAACGCTATTTCTTTTCGGCGGCATCCAAGATAACTTGATGGTTTGAGTTCGCAAGACTGTGTTTTTTCATAGGGGTACAAGTTTCTTGTATGGTTTATAATTGTACTTTTTACAGTCAATACATGAGATATACTTCATCATTATCATCAGAACCCTTCACAAATTCACTGTCGAGCCTCCCCCAAGAAATGCCACAACACACTCCGTAGCTCGCTGAGTCACCTTGAGCTTCCCTATACGGCCAGCAGTGAAGGACCGCGTCTCAGATCCCTAAGTCATTACTATCAACACGAATTTGTTGTTCAACCTTGTACTCAGGTTTGAAATATACTGGATGATTTTTACCGTCTGGAAAAAAGGGTGTTACAGGTGGACGGAATATGGTACTGACATTTTACAATTTTTTTTTATTTTTCATTAACAAATTATGAATTTTTTTATCAATAAATACTACTAATAATACGTATTATTTTAAAATCGGTAGTTTCCAATTGATTTATTTATTTAATTCGAAAATTTTATTGTTATTTTCTTGGTACCTAAAGTTTATTTATAAAAATTAGTATTTATTGATAAATCGATTTCATAATTTGTTAATATAAAATAAAAATAAAAATATAAAATATCAGCGCCATAGGCTTCGATTCCATTTACCGGTTACACCCTGTTTTTTCCAGACGGCAAAAGAAAATTACCCAGTATACTTAGGATATGCATATTATATTAAAAATAAGTAGTTCAATTCTGTTTACGAATAATCGCCACCATTGATGATAATTGGGCTGAAAAGTTTCTAGTGTATAAAGCTATTAATCTTCATTATTCTTCGCTTTTTAAGTCACTTTAAAGTGCGTCTAGTAACGAGTATCTTGAAATATATGTTGATCACATTGATTGTTGACACATAATTTTTTTGTATTCACGTAATAAATTAGCCCCGTGTACCATAAAATCTAGATCCAGTGCTAGTATCCATGCTAGCGGGGCTTCTGGCTAAGTGATTTAATAACATTACTTTACGGTAGTCATATTTAGTTTATTTAATCCAACATTGCATTAATTTTTATGACTGTCACTAAAAGAGGTAGGCACAGACTACTAACTTCTAATTGACTTGACATATGGCATGATTGGTGTACGTGCTAAACACAACATATGTGTAGACATAATATATTGGAATTAATAGAAGCGAGAGCGGTGTGTCACTTATGTTGGCGATTGATAAATCAAATTCTGATATAGCATAAATAGTCTAAGCAGTTTCCTGGCCTAAAATTTAAACATTATTATTTTTCATATACAAATCCATATTCTATCTTAATGCGATAAGTGGACGTTAATAATAATTATAACATAAGTGTTTTTCTAAAAAATGACGATAGCCTGTTACAAAGCTTGAATTCGAGTAAAGTATTCAAAAATCCGGGCGAAGAATCGAAGTGAAAACGAAGCGAGAATATAAAACAGGCAAAATAAATGTTCCAGCCATAAGCTGAATGATCAAATTTCAATAAAGGAACGTCGAAGAGGGTGAGCTGACAATGAAACGGTGTTATTTAATTAAAGGGACCGGCGCGCTCCACGGCAATTCAATCCGGATCTTGTTCAATGAGTGACTCGTTGACTAAATGCAATAAACAATTTTAAAAATAAACGTAGAAACTTAAGCGTAGCTAAATTTTAAATGTGCCTAATACGCGTGAACGGCAAGATCATTAAACACATTAAAAGTAAAATATAGTTCTTTTTCACTCATTTCACTTTTCACTTTACTAATTTAACTATTATTAGAAACTCCGAGCATAGCCCTTTTTACTATTTTTTTTCTACTACTTTTTATTCTACTAAAAGATAGAAAATTCAATATTGATTCTAAAATGCCAAACTTCTTCATAGAAAAGTTGTCTCTAAACATAAGTTGAAATGTAGGGCGACCCCCCACTAGATGGAGTGACGACCTGGTAAGATATGCAGGAAGTCGATAGATGCAGGTGGCTCAGGACCGTGCTTTGTGGCATTACTTGGGGGAGGCCTATGTTCAGCAGTGGACTTGTGAAGGGCTGTAATGATGATGATGATGATGAATTTAACTATATATTTTTTGTGTTAAGCAATATATTCCCTAATTGAAAACCGATATAGATGATTCAATTCACTTGATGGAAGGTTACAGAAGCGTTGTCACTTCTTTGGGCTATAGTGGAATGCCTGTAATTTATGTCTAGCAGCTTGTAATTATATTGGGTCTCTTAAACTTTTAGGCAGTACCGTATTACATATTACGTTAAAATACAAATTAGATGATATCATAATACACAGTATGTTATACATTCATAATATATAGTATGTTATACTATGAAACTATGTAATAATATTTTAACAGATTTATTCTATTAGGTGACAAACGAGCACACAGTGCACCTGATGGTAAGTGAATACCGTGACCCAGACATCTACATTTATCCTCGATTGAGAGTCTCAATACGCAGATGAGTCGTCATTTCTGAGGGCTAAGGTGGAATGCCTCTTCAATATACATTTATATACGAAACACAAAATTATGTAACTTATTTAACTTTTCTTTTATGCACATGTATTTTTTAAAGGGTAAGTGCATTCTTAAATTTTTTGAGTAAACGGATTATATAGATACAAATTTGATATATCATATTACATAATTTGTTATATTTTGCTACAAATTATAAACATAGCAATAATTATTACAAAAAATACAATTACATTAGTATCAGGCTTAAATTAAAATTTCTTTTGCTGAAATAATTTGCGAACCAAAATGTTATATATGGAGTTTGACAGCAATTGTCAAATTTCACAAAGACTGTATGGCCACAGCTAAGGGACTTATTCAGTTGGGGACTATTCTTAAACCGTTATTTAATCCCGAGAATATCAACAAATTATTTTGCATAATAAGACGGGATAGTTTATAATATCATCCATCATCATGTATCATTTAAATAAAACTAGTTTTACAGTTTTTATCGCGTATATTAACTTACTTTATATTCCAGACGTTTCGAGCACTTTACAGCAACCATGGTTACGGGGGTACTGAAGTTATAGTCAACTACGGCTACTTCCAGATTAAATTATAATTTTTTTCTTACATACTTAGTCATTCAATTCGTACAAATTAGTTCGTCAACAGACATACACGAAATCGAGTTAATAAAAACATGGTAAAAATAAAATGGATAAAATCATTTTGCAGAATTAGTAAATAAACCACCGTGTCAAAATTTAATTAATCACAGTAAGTATTAGAGTAGATCAGACATAACAAGCGGATACGTAACGACGTATTTGATCAAATTATTGAACATTTCGTACTGGTGCTAATGAATATGGAGTACGTCAAAGACGAGTTAGGACATTGATTGAATATTCTCCAAGAAACTTCAACGACTACAATAACCTCACACCTGAGGGACTTGTTACATTATACATTTACATGAATTCTACGACTGCAATGGGACCCATTTGATTAGTTTCAAAACTCATATCGATAAAGTGGGTCAGAATTTCCATTTAGTTACCTAAAGTTTAATCAGGATTTCTTTTACTTTACAAGTTAATTATTTTTTAATTAAGTTAATTTAAGATCTAAATTTAAGTTTAATATCGATTGTTCTCTTATTAGAATTCCATTGTTTAGTAAGATTTAAAATTATAAAGGTTACATAATATTATTTTGTCATATAAAGCCACAGTAGTCTGCCAGTAGGGTGCAAACCGTGAACTTAAAAGGTCGTGGATTCGAATCCGCCATTTTACTACTCCCTTTTGATAGGATAAATAGTGGCAAGCGAACACACAGCTCACCTAATGGTGAGTTGTTGCTATGGCCCACAGACATCTAAATCAATCAACTGTAATATAGTCGAATCAGAACGCAGATACGTTGTCAGCTGTGAGGACTAAGATAGAATTCCTATTTTTCAGTAAAAAGGGTCTCCGGTTCTCTACACTCACCATATGAAACAGTAGCATTAAGTTACTATTTTGCGCAGGTATTCTGTGAGAGCGTGGTCCTTCCCCGGTCGAGCCGACCCATTCGTGCTACAACTAAACAATTAATATAGCTGCAGCATGGCGCTACCACGTTTCATATCTCCGAAAATAAATATTTTTAGACTGGAGTGGTTTAAGGTGAATATTATAAATGTTAAAAAAATTGTTAACATTTTTGAAAAAAAAAACTTGAGTCGGAGACGTGGTAGCTAGCTCAGAGGCTAAGCACTCGCTGTAATTTTCACAGTACTCAAGCAACTTGAAATCGATCCCCGCAGGTAGCAACAAAATAGCACCCGCTTTCAGAAGCTCCGCTGTAATTCCATCCTCGCCCGGGGACTTGCCGTTTTTAAGGTGCTGGAGAGCCATTTTAATCTTGCTCAGACTGACGTCCGGGATATCATCGGAATAGTGTCGGATAAGACTTCCTCTTGGATCGTTACTCACACTTGCGTGTGGCTCCAACGATGATGTGTACAGATGCCTATAGAACCTCTCAATGTCACTCAGAATCTCAGGTGTTCCGGAAACGATGCTGCCACACTCAGTCTTCAGCTTTAACAATTGGCTCTTACTTGCAGACAGATATCTGGTAAAGACTTTGGAGCTCTGGTTCCACTCGATCGCTTCTTCAATACATACAATACATCTGGAGATCTGTCTGTTCAGTTGCCTGAATGCTGTCAAATCTGTTGACGATTGCAGCCTCATCTCCCGTCTAACAGCCATGAGATTAAGAGTGTGATTGGAGGGTTTTTGTGTTTTTCTGCGGCGGATCTTGCAGAACTTAGCTCCGACCGCATGGACAGTTTCCACGAGCTTGTCATTCATATCGTCCACTGCATTGCAATCTTCTAGGCACTGGTTACGTAACTCGAGCTGAAATGTTTCGGGATTCTGGATTAGAGCACGAGGGGAACGAAGCGTTGACTTCATTAGACGAGACCTCTCCAACTTAACGTTTAGGTTCAGTGTGCCTCTAACCATTCGGTGATCGCTGCCAGTTTTCACCCGTACGATCACTGAGACATAACTGAACATTTGGCGTCTGGTCGTCATAATGAAGTCAATCTAATTTTTTGTCGAACCGTCGGGGCTCGACCAGGTCCACGTCCTGTGGAGCCGCTTCTGGAAGAAAGAGTTCTTCAAAAAGAGTCCCTCTTTCTCCATTAAGTCGGCCAGCTGCTGCCCCCTACGGTTCTGTTGCCCTACTCCAAATTTTCCTAACTTCAGCTCACCGCTTTCTCTTGTGCCTAGTTTTGCGTTAAAGTGCCTTCCAACGGATAGGTCTTAAGATGAACGTGGCTCAAACAAAGATCATGTTTAATGTTCATGTCATACCTATGCCGGTAGTTGTTGGGAGTACTAAGCTACTAAGTTGTTGACGAGTACGTTTACCTGGGACAAATAGTCCGATTAGGTTAGTCCAACTTCGACCGAGAGGTCAATCGACGGATTCAACTCGGCTGCGTTCGGAAAATTTCGACGCATCTTCTCGTCAGGTATACCTCAAAACATGAAAACTAAGTTGTACAACCGGTGCGTGTTGTCAGGGATGACCTACGGAACCGAGACGTGGTCCTTCACTGCTGGCTGTATGAGGACGCTCAAAGTCGCTCAGCAAGCTATGGAGAGGGCTATGCTCGGAGTTTTTCTGCGTGATAAACTTAGAAATGATTATATCCGCAGTAGAATAAGAGTGACCGACATAGCCCAACGGATTAGTAAGCTGAAGTGGCAATGGGCCGGCCATATAGCTCGAAGAACCGACAACCGTTGGGGAAAAAGGTTCTCGAGTGGCAGCCTCGTACCGGCAGGCGAAGTGTAACGCGACCCCCTACTAAATGGAGTGACGACCTGGTACGACATGCAGGAAGTCGATGGATGGATGGCTTTGTGGCATACCTTGGGGAGGCCTATGTTCAGCAGTGGACTTGTGAAGGGCTGTAATGATGATGATGATGATGAATTTATAACGGGCTGAATTTGTCTTTTCAGAATATTTTCTAAAAACTTTAAACATAAAGTATTATAAAATTTATTATCATAAAAATACCTACATATAAAATATTTTATTAGAGCACTAGAGCATAATAATTCTGAATATTAACAGTGGCTTGTAGCTGCGAACATCCGGTTATTTTCAAACTTTCATCGTTCTTGTATAAATTATCGGTAAGTTTTATTTGATTTGCTTGTCATCGGTAAACTTTACTCACACATATGTGAACAGTTCTTAAATGTAATCTCAAGTTGTATTTTTGACTACTGTAAAAGACCCTGGGCTTAAATTATCATCACTGTCTGTAAATATTTCCATTAAATTTATTTCAAGATATTAATTTAATACATTTAAATCTAATTAAAAATCATAGTGGCTATGGACTTAGTGTTCGCTGTAAATTTATATTTTAATTTTGCAATACGTGAACAACCTGATTCTTTCCCGCAGGCAACAGTGAATTTGTAGTAATTTACTACGTAATTGGCTGTGAAGGTTCAAGGTGAAACGTGTTCAGATGGCAACTTCGTACCGGCAAGCGAACTGTAGGGCTCGCCCTACAAGATGAAGAGTGCTGGTAAGATATGCTGGAAGTCCATGGAACCGTGCTTTGAGGCACTTCTTGGGGAGGCATAGTTTTAGCAGTAGACTTGTAAAGGGCTACAATTATGATGATGAATTATGGCAGGTAAGTATAATATTATAAGGAAACTTGCATGAATTGAAAAAAAAATCGAAACATGTGAAACCATAAGGTAAGTGTATGGTGGGCATTTCACCATGTTGGTGTAAAACCATTTTCGAAATGAGAGGAGAACTGTACTCAGCAATGAGACATAAACACTTTTTACTTTTTTTCGATGGAACATCTGGTAAAAAAATTGAAATTGATGAAAAACATGATGTTAAATTGATGTTGTGGCCCATAAACATCTAAATCTATCCTCAAATTAAAATTAAAATGCAGCTACTCTGTCACCCCTGAGGACTAAGATACAATGTCTCGTTTCTAGTAAAAGGTTCTCCGGTTACTCTACAATCACTGAAACACATTCCAATACATTCACTCAGTCGAACGTATAATAGCATTATGATGCTATTTCAAGTTGGAGTTCAGACGTTTTACTTCGGAGATGTTTATTATCTCTTCCTTCACTAGCCCGCATTTCTATAATCAGGGACGTAAATATTATTGACAGAACATGCTGATATGACGCTTTATTCGTTATTTCACATGTCTTTATATAAATTTCATAGCTATTCATCCAATTTGTTCAACTGGCACTTAAACTTTCGTGGTCTAAACTCCCGTCAAAATGAAATGATTTTGGTGGACTTAAGACACTTTCCATAATTATTAACCTCTCAACCCCCTAGCGGTCTCGTGAGGTCGCACCCACTCACAGCACCTTCACCATAAAAAATTATACGAAGGCGGCTTTGAAAATTTCGGGAATCAAGGAAGTGACACAACATAACTATTTAAAAATGTATTTATTGCTTTTCGAAGCATTCTCCGCGAAATTTGACACATTTTTCCATACGATGGAACCAATCATTGAAGCAACCATTCCATTCGGAAATTGGGGTCTCCAAAATGGCCGTTTTGTAGGCGTCCGCTGCTTCTTCAGGTGATGAAAATCTCTGTCCACGCAATTTATTCTTTATTTTAGGGAAAGTATAGAAATCATTAGGGCTTAGGTCGGGGCTGTACGGCGGATGGTCTAATAATTCTGTTTTCTTGCTCTAAAAACTCTTTTGTTCTGTGTGCGGTGTGAGAACTCGCATTGTCGTGATGGAAGTTGATGCGGCGGTTGCAGTTCTCTTTACGGAGTTCAGAAACGACCTGTGGCAAACAAATGCTAGCATACCATTCTGCATTAACCGTTCTTTGTCCCTCAAGAGGAATAGTCGTAACATGGCCGGTTTTGGAGACAAATGTGGCCACCATTTTTTTTTTTTTTTGAAAAACTCCCTGAACGAACAATTTTTGTTGGCTTTAACTCATTTTCGAACACCCAAACTCGTGACTGGTTTTATGTTTCGGGTTCGTACGCATATATCCAGGATTCGTCACCTGATGCAATGTTGTGTACAGCACTTGAGGATCCTGCTTGGAATCTTTCGAGAGTTCTGACGCATCAAGTAAAGCGAGCCGCTTTTTGCTTTTCACAGAGCGAATGCGGTATCCAACGGGAAAACAACTTTTACTATACCTAATTGTTCATGCAAGATTATTTGTATTTAACTCATGCCAATATCTAAAGTTGCCTGAATTTCGCGGTATGTCACACGTCGATATAATTATATAATTTCGAGTAATATATGTCGAAATAATTTTTTTGAAATAATTTTCACGCTGCCGACATTCGCTTGTTATGTTATTTTTGTGATAAAATTACAATATATTTTTGTAATTAAGTAAAACCTGACTTTTGTTTAGATTATAAGATAGAGAATTTTATATAAATTTTATAATGTAAAACTTCTTCATAGAAAAGTAGTCTCTAAATATAAGTTTTAATGGTTTTAATTGCTGTGGGTGGGTGCGGTCGCATTCTACCGCTCGGGATTTGCCGGGCGCATGTGACTGCATGGGATTTTTATGGCTCTTGAAAGGTTAAATGTTATTAAAATAAACACTATTCAAATTAACTTGTAATATACTTAATAAACTTATTTATCCTACCAACTGCGCCATGAGAACACGGGCAGGCAACAAAGAAATACGGAGATCAAGTTGATACTGATTTATTCATATTTATCCTCCACTATTACAATTATCTCTTACATTCCACACTCACCATACAAAACTTCTGTGAGAGCGTGGTTCTTCCCTGATCTATCCAATCTATTTATGCTGCAGCCATAGAGCTACATCATGGTACAACAGGTATAAAACACACAGTTGTATTTAAGTTTTATAATAGTTAAAAATCTTACCAACTACAGTGAGATTGTATCTGAAGCTAGTAGTCTGCGTGTTACGGAAGTCAATCCGGCAACGGTAGACGCCCTCATCGCGCCGCTTGACGTCACGCACCAGCAGCGAGGCGGGCGGCGGTGACGTAGAAAAGTGTGCACGAGGACCGAACACTTCCGGTGCCGACCAGTGCCTCGCTTCCGAAAGATGCTTCCCCCTCACGTCGAAGCTTAAACAAGGAGATTTAATGATATTCGACAAATTGCTATTTCAGGTGTATTACTCTCAAATGTATAATAGGCAAGATGTAAAACCCTACTTTACCCCTTAGCTTATATATAAATAGATTTTTTTATAGGATAGGATGACAAATGAGCGCACAGTCCACCTGATGGTAAGTGGTTTCTGTGGCCCACAGACATCTACGTCTATCCTCGATTACGAATCAAAATGCAGATGCATTGTCATCCGTGAGGACTTAGGTGGAATGTCTCGTTTTCAGTAAAAAGGGTCTACGGTTCTCTACACTCACCATACGAAACACAGCAGCTTTGAGCTACTAATTGACGCTGGTATTCTGTGAGAGCGTGGTCCTTCCCCGGTCGAGACGATCCATTCGTGCTACAACTATACTACTAATGTAACTGCAGCATGGTTCTAACGCGTAAAATATATTAACATAATATAGTAACATAATGGCATTTTTTTATAGAATATTGGTGACAAACGAGTACACAATACACTTGATGATAAGTGGATATTGCAGCCTATAGACATCTATCCTCGGTTAAGGTTAAAATGTAAAAATATTTTCAACCGGACTGAGGACTAAGATGGAATGTCGCAATTAGGTATAAAGTGTCTCCGGTTCTCTACACTCACCAGACAAAACACAGCAGCACTAAGCTGCTATTTTACGCGTTATGTTGGAGTGTGACCCTTCTTTTGTGATACAAACAATATATAGCAGCGGCGTGGCTCTACTACGTTATAAAGGTAAAGAAGTTTTATATATATAAAACTTCTTTACCTTTATATAAGAAGTGTTATATATATATATATATATATATATATATATATATATATATATATATATATATAGTCATAAACACTCACGCCTGTCACCCAGAGGGGTAGGCAGAGACTACAGACTTCCATTTGGCACGATCCTGACACACTCTCTCGCCTCCTTCACATCCATACACCTACGCATGCATGCTCGTCGGTTAAGGGTACTCCTAATTTGGCCCGTTTTCAATAAATCGCCAATTTGGTCGATAAATTTTCGCCTAGGACGTCCCTTTCCGACTCTGCCATTCACTTCTGCAACATAAATTTTCTTTGTCACTCTTTCCTCATCCATTCTTTCCACATGACCAAACCACCGAAGCATTCCTTTCTTAATCCTGGTCACAACATCATCTTGCAAACCACACTCTTCTCTTATCACACAATTTTTCACCCTGTCATTCAGATTCAGCCCTAACATACTCCTTAACGACCGCATTTCTACTGCATTTATTCTACTCTCGTGCTTCTTCTGCCATACCCAACTTTCACTACCATACGTTAAAGTAGGGACCAACACAGCATTGTGAATTGCCATACGTGCCTTTTTTGACACATTTTGACTCTTCACAATAGAGTGCAGGGCTCCATTTACTCTGTTTCCTGCGTTCACTCGTCGTTCTATATCCTTATCATATCTCCCATCCCTGCTAAATACGCAACCCAAATATACAAACTCATCTACTTGCTCGATCAACTCCCCTTCTATTCTTATTTCACATATCGTTTTACTTTCATCTCTTTCAAAAACCATAATTTTTGTCTTACTTGCGTTCACTTTCATACCCCTTTCTTTTAATGATCTGTTCATTAATATAACCATCATTTGCAACTCAGCCGCCGACGACGCAAGAATAACTTGATCATCGGCGTACAAAAGGCATTTGATGGTTAACTCACCCATTCTTAATCCGCATTCTTCAACTTTCAAATTTTGCAAACAACTGTCCATAAATAGGTTGAACAACCACGGGGAAGCCACACAGCCCTGTCTGACACCTTTATGGATGCCAAACCAGTCCGAGTAGACCCCGTTGATCCTAACACAAGCACTAGAGTCCCTATAAAGAGATTCCAATGCCTGTATCAAGCCAGCGCTCAACCCAAATGAGTTCAGTGTTTGCCATAGCACATTCCTATCCACTCTGTCATAGGCCTTCTCCAAGTCCATGAACGCAAAAAAACCTTTTGGTTTTTGGCCAAAAACTTCTCCGCGATCATGCGCATGGAGAAGACTTGATCTGTACATCCCATTCCCTTTCTAAATCCCGCTTGTACATCCCAAATTTTTCCATCGGTTTCTTTCATGACCCTTTTAATTAGTACCTTGGCATACAGTTTTCCCACGATGCTAAGAAGGCTGATACCGCGGTAGTTTTTACAGTCCTGCTGCGACCCTTTTCCCTTATATACTGGGACTATCACGGCTTTGCACCAGTCTCCCGGTACCCGCTTCAGTTCCCAGCATAAATTAAACAAGGTGTGCAGCAGGCCTGCCACCACTTCCTCTCCAGCCCTTAGCATTTCGAGTGAAACTCTATCATATCCGGCAGCCTTACCTGCTTTCATGCTTCTCATTGCTTTCATTATTTCATCTATACTTATCTCGCTACCTTCTTCCTCTTCTTTCGGAGTTCCTATTTCATTCAGTTCATACGTTGTCTCCTCACTCATAATAATTAACTCACATATATATATATATATATAATTATGCATAAAATTGCTAAAATAAAAAATCGCTAGAGGACCTAAGCACTATTCTCAATGATCTCAATAGTGCCTCCCAACGGATAGGTCTTAAGATGAATATGGACAAAACAAAGATCATGTTTAATGTCCATGTCACACCTATGCCGGTAGTTGTTGGGAGCACTAAGCTGGAAGTTGACGAGTACGTTTACCTGGGACAAATAGTCCAACTAGGTAAGTCCAACTTCAACCGAGAGGTCAATCGACGGATTCAACTCGGCTGGGAAGCGTTCGGGAAACTACGACGCATCTTCTCGTCAGGTATACCTCAAAACCTGAAAACTAAGTTGTACAACCAGTGCGTGTTGCCAGTGATGACCTACGGAACCGAGACGTGGTCATTCACTGCTGGCCATATGAGGACGCTCAAAGTCGCTTAGAGAGCTATGGAGAGGGCTATGCTCGGAGTTTCTCTGCGTGATAGACTTAGAAATGTGGATATCCGCAGTAGAACCAGAGTGACCGACATAGTCCAACGGATTAGTAAGCTGAAGTGGCAATGGGCCGGCCATATAGCTCGAAGAACCGACAACCGTTGGGGAAAAAAGATTCTCAAGTGGCAGCCTCGTACCGGTAGGCGAAGTGTAGGGCGACCCCCCACTAGATGGAGTGACGACCTGGTAAGACATGCAGGAAGTCGATGGATGCAGGTGGCTCAGGACCGTGCTTTGTGGCATACCTTGGGGGAGGCCTATGTTCAGCAGTGGAATTGTGAAGGGCTGTAATGGTGATGATGATGAAGATACATAAAAATATACATCATGCATAAAATATGCAAAATTATCAGTGTTCACCAATCAACAAGTAAAAAAAATTAAATATGAAAAACTTTGTGTAACAGGTTATTTTCATATTAAGGAATACACGAATACTTAAAATTGCAATTAACAACTTCATTGGTGCCGGCGGGGTTTGAACCCGGGTTACTCGCGTTCTGTTATATTTACAGCGAGCGTTAACCATATGAGCTATCATGTATTAATTATGTTGAATTATGTTGAGAAGGATGCAAAAGACTCAAGAAATCCCAATATACACTTTCTTAACTTTCAAATAAGGTAAACAGCGAGGCTCTTTTGATAGCATATCATAGACTAGTTGCTTCCGTTTTGCGATATGGCATTATTTTGTTGGGACAGTCTCCTGATAGGGAGCTTGTATTGTACGTGTAAGATCGATTAGTGGTTCGAAAATAACAGATAGCTGGTTTCCTTATTTTAAATCTTTAAAAATCCTTACACTGCCATCATTGTATATTCTAGAATCAGCAATTGTTGTAAAAAAGAAAAGTATCCATTTCTTATTCAAAAATTATCTACAATTTGAAGAAATTCAATACGCACCCACTACGTAAATAAGTTATGTCACATAAAATGTGAAGCATCTCTGATGAAAAAAAGGTAATTTGTAAAAAGGTAAAAAGAAAAAGGTATTGCCCCACGAGTTTATAATAAACTACCTGATCCAATAAAAAATATGATCTTATTTAAATTAAAAAAAGTGCTAAATGAATTATTAATAGACAAATGTTATTATAAAATTGACAAGTTCTTGAATGCAAATTTCAACTAATTATTCTAATTTTAAATTATATTGACTAATTATATTATATTTTTTGTTGTCATCTATTTAATTTTATCAAGGTAGAATCTTAATAAGTATTCCAATTTCATTAATTTTTATACTATTTTATTTTATGGCATGATTCTCATAAGAACAGAAAATTATATTTGTATGCCTTTAAGACAAAATATAGCGCACTAATAACTGTGACCATCGCAAGGCCTTAAATGTTTAAACCTGTATGTTTGACAAATAAACTATTCTGATTCTGATTCTGAATAAAAATAATTCTATTCTTTTTTATTCTATTCTATTACAGGCAACTTCATACAAAATATTACATTCATATAATTTCAAAACTGGCATAAAACAGGTTTCCGTTTCTACACAGTTGAACAAAATTGCTTCACTCGAACACAATACTTGTTAGGAAACCGAATACCGGCCTCAGACCACACGTCAATACGAGCCTTTTTGCTTGGAGGTATTTCAGATATTGTGCCGCAGTTGCAAATAGGTATTGTGTGTAAGCTTCTCAGGTATCTACGCTAGCTTTGAACGATATTTTAGGAACTATCGTGATTTGAAACTGTCAAGCGGAAAAGGGAACATTTATTCGATACGGGTTGTCGACACATAGAAAAAGTCTTGTTTGACATAGGTTTGATACTGATCGATGAAATGGAATAGATCAATTTCGAGATAAACTTTTTATTCGTGTCATGTTCGTGTTTGCACCGTGTTGTGAAACGTGTTGGAATCATTATCATCGTTTATTTATGTTCAGAACACTATCTAAAAACTAGTTTCATTGACATAAAAATGTGTAGTTTTTGCGTAAACATGAGAAATTATTATATAATTTTATTATAATTATTGTTAGAATATAATTTTATTGGCACTCAAGGAAGTTCTCTACCTTTTCCCAACTATAAAATATGTTTCTGCTGTAATATAATTGATTTTATTGTCACTAAATTAACTTATTTTGTTTCGTCTTGATTTCTATAAATATAATATATAAATCAGATTCGCGGTAGCTCAGCTATCGCTGTAAATTTCAAAGTACGCGAGCAAACCGGGTTCAATCTCCCCTTCGGCACCAATGAAATTGCTTATTCCAATTTTAAGTGCTGATTTGCCACGAGATTAGCGATGAAGGAAACCATCGTGAGGAAATATCATATCTAAGAAATAAAAAAAATATTTCGAAGACTTATGACGTTCAACACAAATCGGGGCAGCGCGACTGACTTTTCCTTGCCCTAAAACTCTTAGAAATGAGAGGAGGCCTGTGCCCAGCAGTGGGACGTAAATAGGCTGTTACATTTCTTACTATATTACTTTATTATCATAGTTGATTGCAAATTGTTGTTGCGAGATAACGTATAATTAAGAAGCATTTAGTTTTTGATCCTAGAATATGAATATTCTAACATATTAAATAAATTAATGTCATGTTGGTGATCCTAATTCCATAATTTGTTATTATTGAACCGAAAATTTACAAAACATGAACTTTAAAATGAATTTACAATTTTTTCACTTTAAACGTGTACTTTTATTTAATGTATTGAACAAAATATTCATTCATAAAATTGTTCAAAACTAAATAAAATTACGAAAAATAACTGGATATGAGAGAAAGAGATTAAGAAAATGTATTATGTGATAGTAAGCGTGGTCCTTCCCCGGTCGAGCCGACCCATTCGTACTACCACCAAAAGATAGCTGTAGCATTGCTCTACCACGTAAAAATTGTCATTTTGAAAATCACATATCAAGCACTAAATTTATAGAGCTTATAAAGATGTTTAAGTCCGTTGAACATATTATACCCGAAAATGCCTTTCTTATAGTTGTTCTAAATAAATCCCAAGAACCAGTAGTTTGTTATACTAGGTCCTTCCAAAATTAATGTAATAAAAGTTATGACAGGGAACATAAACTTTTTATTATTAATATGCAAATATAGTGAGCCCTCTGAGCCACTCGTATTCATCAGCTCCCCACTACCTACTATTTGAATGTTTAACCTACGTTTAGTTGCATATTTTTATTTATTAATAATAGGTAGCATAAAAACTTTGTATAAGATAGTATGTTTAATAATTTTATTTTATTTTACCCTTAGTTTTCACATATTTATCTATATTTAATATCTCATCCCGCCGAGGAAAAAATATTCCCTATTATGTTAATAAATTAAAGTGTGAGGCAGGTGAATTTAGGAGCTGTAGTTGTGAAAAAATAACCCCACGCGGACCTTTCGTATCCAATGAAATAAATCGTTGGATATAGTAAATGCTTGCCCAAACCGTCATACTTCAGTTTAAGCCATCATCAGTCATCATACGATTTCGACAACCCGAAAATATTGAATATTTTATGGACTGGCCGCAACGGGAATTCTTATTGCTTTTAAATAAGACGAACTTGAATCCATAGCAAATTCTCAGACTATAAACATTTTACTCGTATTTCAGTCTTCGTTATTTTTGGTACAGACAAAAATATATTTTAAATGAAAAAGTACGAAAATAAATTCAGTTTTCGTACACGCAAAAATATATTTAAAAAAAGGTATGAAAATAAAATTAAGGGTAAGTCAAAACAAGTTTTAGGGTTAGAAACCGACTTTAAAAAGGAGCTTCTTTCCTTTTTATCAATTGAACTGTAATTATTTGCACTTATGTCTGACGACTAATCATGATTCGATTTGAAGGCTTATATTTTTATTAAATAGGCTATATATCGCAAGTTATCCCGTTCAAATTTGCAGAAAAATTCTATCTCTAATGATGGAAAAATAGGGAATCAAAATTAAAACACTAGTTGTTATTTAAGTTACGAGCACAAAGTTTAACAGATGATAAGTGGATGGTGTAGCAATGGACATCTATATTTATCCCCGATTAAGAATCAAAATGCAGATGCGTTATCATACCCGAGGACTAAGTTAGAATGCGTAAAGGCTCTCCAGTTTTTCTTCACTCACCATACGAAACACAGGAACATTAAG